GGATGTCAGGGACCTTTCACACTTACCATCCAGCATTCAACATCTCCCGTGAAGAGGGCTGTTTATGTTGTCCATTTTCCACTTCAGTTATGTGTTTTCTTTTTCTATTTTTTGTTCTTTTTGGATCACACCCGGCAATGGCTCTGTCTGATTTTGATATCGGAATAATGGAAGTCCCACAAAGTGAGTTTCGAAGTGTTTCAACTCTTCAATTTTCTGGGAAAGTCTTGGGTAGAATCAGTACTCCTTGTTCCTTGAATGTTTGGTAGAATTCACCACTGACGCCATTTGGGTCTTGAGCAGGCATCCTCGCCCATCAGTAGTGAAGAGCCAGCACTGTTTCTCTCTGGTCCTTTCCACGGCACCTGAGTCTCCCCCCCCCGTCGAATCCTTGGTGGTGGTGGGTGATCACATCTACCCTTCTCTGCAGTTTCCTCTCTGTATCTCTCCCCAAGCCCTCCTCCTCCTCCTCTACTCTGTCCTGCTGGGTTTCCCCTGCCCTGGCCTAAAACCCCTCTCATGGCAATGAACCGAGAATGGTGTGGTGTTCATCCCATCCCTGCCTGTCACGTAAGAAAGACACCAAGTCTTTGTACCGAGTTCCTGGTTCTAGAAAACTCCTAGAACCCTAGGAATTTCCTGAGTGGCAAGAACATGCTATGGGGCTGGAGTGATAGCACAGCGGGTAGGGCGTTTGCCTTGCATGCGGCTGACCCGGGTTCGATTCCCAGCATCTCATATGGTCCCTGAGCACCACCGGGAGCAATTCCTGAGTGCAGAGCCAGGAGTAATTCCTGTGCACTGCCGGGTGTGACCCAAAAAAATAAAAGACAAAAAAAAGAATGTGCTATCATCTTTTGCTCTAGTGAAGCAATTCTTGGCAGATTCCTGAATAAATTCAAGACGTGACTGGTCGTCTGAAAGACATGATTAGAAGCTGCCGACTTTTGGCCTTATTACACAATCTCCGGGGAGGAAGAGGAATCACTGGCACCCATGTAATGGAACGTCCATTAAAAAAAAAAATTTAAAAAAAAAACCTGCAAGAGGGTTCCGAGAACTCTGAGGATGCTGTGCTGGCTGCTGGGAAGACAGCACCGAGGAAGGGCATGAGGGCATGAATGCCCCACCCTGACCGCTGCATCACCCTGCCCGCTCCTGGGCTGCACCTTTATAATAAGCCAATAAATAGGAGGAAAGTATTTTCCTGAGTCCTGTGAGCCCTTCGAACACATATTACACGTGAGAAGGGAGTCACGGGAACCCTGACTGATAGCTGCCTGTGAAGCGGGGGTAGATTTGTAGGACAGAGCCCCCAGAGCATGTGGGGTGTGATGTCACCCCAGACTCCATAGAACCCAGTTGCATTAGTAGACCCGATGGAAATGCAGAGAATAGGACAGCAGAGTTAGAAAGGCCCAGAGCTATTTGGTGTGGGGTGGAAGAAGTCCTAGCCCCTGGTCTCTTAAGAACGGACCAGGGCTCCTGGCGGACTATGAGGGCCTGTGTCAGTCTGTCAACAATGTCATCATTTCAGACAGGCAGGAAAGTCGGTGCCCACGACTCTATAGTAAACGCGGAACTCCTAGAATCCACGTCTTCTAAGCACCATGCCCAGGTCTCTGGTACCTACGTCTGTCCCGGGACCTGTCGAGATCCCGTCTGAGCTTCAGAAAGAACCTTCCTGGCCTCTGTCCCCAGCCCCAGGCAGGGGCCTGATACACACACACACACACACACACAACACACACACACACACACATGTTCGGAAACCGTGTCAGAGGGCTGAGCGCACAAAAGCAAGTGCTGCACCCACGTCAAAGGTGCTCGAGAACCTAAACCCCAGTGCCACTTGGGGACCAGATTCACTGTCAGAACCGTCAGAACCAAATCTGAATGCTGCACTACTCAGGAGCACGGGGGAACTGGTCCTCCCGGGGGCAGTTAAGAACAGCGCCAGTGAAAGCTCAGAACAGGAGATGCTTTGACTAAACTGGACAAGCACCATGGGCCAAAAGCAATGCGGGTAACTTACAGTTTCAATTACTCTTTTGTTTCATAATTCTGAGACACTAAATATTTTTTTGGTTGGCGAAAAAGGGCTTTCCTGGCCATCTCTTCAAAAGACTTTAGACTGGGGTAGGGAAATAGTTCGAAGGCTGGTGAGCATGCTTTGCAGCATGCCAATGGCTGGGGTTCAAGCCCCGGCAACACAAGGATCCCTGAGCACCACCAGAAGAGACCCCCCAGCAACCTCCCCCACCCACCCAAAACATGGAGCTAGAATCGTGTGTACATCGATGAACCCCCCAAATGTTTTTTTCTAAGCACAACAAAAGCTAAGTAATTAATGCTAGTCTTGTAAATATTTACCTTACTAATCCCTGGAAACATTTGTTCAAGCCATAACCATACACACACACACACACACACACACACACACACACACACACCCAGCATTTGGGTCACACCCAGTGGTGCTCAGGGCTTACTCCCATCCCTGTGTTCAGGGATCACTCCCAGGAGGTTCAGGGGAACGGATGGGACGCTGGGCACTGGATCCTGGGTAGGTCGCGTGCAAGGCAAACACCCTACATGGCATACTATCATTCCAGCCCCCACAACCATATCTTATGCACAGAAATAAACACATGAAGCATGAGGAATCGACAATTCCTAGACACATTCTACAGGACTTTCCTGAATTAGGTCACAATTTTAAAGGTCAAGCGAAAGGCAAAAACACTTTCACTCTTAACACAACAACATCATCTGGTTCCTCGCAGCAAAACTTCCCCATCCACACAAAAGTCCAATTCGGGACTTACATGAGAACTAACAGTGGAGGGCTGAGCCCTCACCAAGCTGGGCGAGGGGAGGGGTGCGCCAGGCCTGCTGCGGTCTTTTGCCGAAGCAATTTCCCTCTCTGTGAGGGAACGGCCCTCCCAGACCCCACCTCCCACAGAGCAGGCAGTTGCAAATGGGATGTCTCCACCAAGACAAGTCAGCAGTCGTGCCAATGACGTCATTTCCTGCTGCGAAGCCTTCCAGAGGTCCCAGAATGCAGTGAAAAGCCCGGTAGGCATAAAGACAAGAATTCTCCCTGATCTCTAAACACCCCTTAAGAACTTCCCTTCCCTTCCCCTCGGTGATGGAATCTTGTTCTAGAGTTTCCCAAAACTGGTGATTTTCAGGCCATATAATGAAAATTACGTGGCTCCACCAAGTTGACAGGAAATGGGCTTCCTCGGGTAGGGCTCCCCCAAGCGGTGGCTTAACGGGGACCACCCAGCTCCCAGAATTCGGAGGGAGGGCCCATCCAGTGGACCAGGCTCCTCAGCCGCATCCTCCCTGCACACTGTCAGCATCCTCTTCCTTCCCCTGAGGCACCACAGAACACTCCAGCAGACACTGTGTCCCTGTCCCGTCCCCCCAACCCTCTGGCCCATCCTGCCACACGGCAAGGGTCTCTCTTGGGGCGCCTTCCCCAGGACCCCTGGGGCATGGGGGGATTCCGTGCCTCCCTAACCTTCCTGCCCGCCCCACCCTGGCTCAACTCTCTCATGTACCTTCTCTCCAATTTTTTTTGGCAAAGTAAAAACGAAGGGGGGGGAGCATTTTTCAAAGACCTAAACTTTTGTTCATTGGAGTCGTGGCAACCACTACAGTGCAGTGGTCGAGTCCGCGGCAGGTACTGAGGGAGGGGTGGGGAGCACCCAAGCAGTGCTGGAGGGGGGCGGGGGCTACTGCCAGGGAGACTCAGTTCAGTCTTACGAGCTGGGAAGTTCACAGCTTGTCCCAACAGTGCTGGAGGAGACCAGAGAGATGCTTCCCCCACCCCACCCCGCTCAGTGACCCTTGAAGAGCCCCGGGGTCACAGGCAGTGGTGCTCAGGTCAGCCGGGTCACACCATGGGCACCTGGGGACCTGGGGACCATGCAGTGCAGGGCTTCAAACTCAGGCCTCGATGTGGCGGGTCTCCTCGGCCATCACATGCTTTCCCAATAAAGCAGCAGAGCCAAATCAAGACGAGGTGCTCTTTGGTGTCGAGAAGATAATCAGCCGCACTGCTCCACTCACAGGGGAACCTCGACTTCCGGGGGGCTTCTGCATTCTGCCCAGCACAGAAACCCGAACACGAGGTCGCCATCAACGAAATGCATTGAGCATCTTGCCCAAAGTCCTCTCCAGGGGCCTGGAGAGATAGTACAGCGGGAAGGGAGCTGTCTCACATGCGGCTGACCGGAGCTTGATCCTCGGCATCCCAGGTGGTCCCCTGAGCCCTGCCAGGAATGATCCCTGGGAGCAGAGCCAGGAGTAACCTGAGCATCGCTGGGTTTAGCCCAAAAAAAACAAAATGAAAGAACAACAGAACGGAGGGAGGGAGGGAGGGAGGGAGGGAGGGAGGGAGGGAAGGAGGGAGGGAGGGAGGGAGGGAGGCAAAAAGTAAATCCTCTCCATAGTGACCCTCCTGAGAAGCAAAATCCCTGATGTCACCAATGGATCACTGCAGTGGTCCCCTGCTTTCCCGCCTGCTCCCGCCCTCTGCCAGGGCCTCGTGTGCCATCTGCTCTTCCCATCACCTTACTCCCAGGACCAACGAGACACTCCAGATGCCAAGAGCTGGCATTGCAAGGCGGCGCTGTCTCCACGTCAGCCAGTCCAAGGCTGTGTCCTCCCCCCATGCAGAGCTGCCCCTAACTCTCCCCTGAGCACTGTTCCGGGCCAGGCTTTCTGTCCAGATGAGGCCTCCTGATCTCAGCCCCCCACCCCGACCCAACCCCCAGGTCAGGTTCAACTGACCATCCCCAGTCTAGAAACAAGAACACCTGGGCTGGACGAGGAGCCCGAGCCCAGGGGAAAGCCACGACCAGAGGGCTTCAGACGCCAGACAGACGCTCTGGGCTCCGACTCCGACGACCTTTGGGTATAGAGTGGAGGGTGAGACGGGCCGACCACCCGGCGGCGTGACCCAGGGCAGGCACGAGCGCGCTACTCACTGTCGTGGACCCGGTAGCAGTGCTTCTGCAGACGCTTCACCTCCCACTCCTCCAGCACCCCGTGCGTCATCAGCAGCTGCAGGAAGCGCCGGTGGACGTCCGTCATGGCGCCCGCCCGGCGCGAGCTGCCCTGCATGGCCCCGGAGATCTAGGAGGAAGCAGGGAAGCCCAGTCACTCGGGGCTGCCACCACCACACAGGGGCACGCGGCAGCCTGGGCTGAGGAATGAACAGATCACAGCCCCTGCACTCCCGACCGCTTGATCAGTCCACGAGGAAACAAAGGAACACGACAAGGTCAGGGTCCGGGCAATTGAACCCTGGGCGGTGGGGCCAATTCTGGCCTGGATTCTCATGGGAGGGGGGCATGGAATCAGGAAATTCAGCCTTGAGGTGCTTCTATCTCGGATCCGTGAAACAGACGTGACGAGAGATGCAGGCTGCAGGGCCGAGAAGCAAACTAGGCTCTAGAGAGGCCTCCGCTACTTCTACAACTGGACACGCCCTGGACTTGGCTCAGCCACCGCAGGGCCTGGATGAGACTTGGCGGAGGCCCCAGGGTCTCACTAACAAATTGAAATAGGTCAGCGGTTTAGAAAAACAGCGAGCGAACTAACTCCAGTCGCTTTCTCCTTCCTGAAACAGCAATCAGATAACGGTCGTGGGCAGGGCTGTGGGGTATCTTAAAGTCGGCCGTCCACTAAAACGGCACCTTCTTTCAACCAACCACAGGGGCCAGAGGCAGCACGAGCATTGCACAAGCCCAGCGGCAAAGCCTGCTGCTGCCACAGACTGGCAAGGCCGCAACAGGAGGCCACAGCGCGTGGCCTGGACAACCAGAACAGGGACACGGAGACCAGTGCCTGGTCTAAGGCATCGCCCACCCTGTGGATGAAAAATACAGAATCCTGGGGCAGGACGATGACAGGAGAGTGGGCAAGGCACTTGCCTTGCGTGTGGTTGGCCCTGGCTGGGTGCCCAGCACCCTATACGGTTCCCAAGCACAGCCAGGAGTGAGCCCGGAGAGCAGAGACAGGAGTAACCCCTGAGCAGGTGTGGCCCCCAAGCCCAACCTATGCCTCCCTCCCTCCCCATGACCACACACACACACACACACACACACACACACACACACACACACACACCTAGAATCCTGGAAATTCTGATGCCAGAGCAGTCTGGCATTCCAAGGTTTTAACACTCACTTTCGATGGTCTGAGAAGAAATTCACTTACCTGAGGCCAGTCTAGCACAGAAGCATTTGAAGCTAATGTGCTCAGCCCCCCTAACCCCCAGCTGACCGTGATAATAACAATTACCTCAAAGGCATACGATACAGTTTCAATGAGAGGTGGCAGCCAAAGGACCAGGAGGTCGCACGCAGGCAGCAAACTGCAGGCACCCCCAGTCACGGAGGGCCTGAGAGCTGGGAAGCCCCCTCTCTCTGGCTAGATAACCACGGCCACGAGCCCCCAGCACGCCCCTCCACAACCCCGAGGTCAGACTCATCTCCCTCCGCCATCCTCTATCCTTCCTGCCCTTGTCCCCTCCCAGAAGCTTGAGAGAACAGTCCCCCCCGTCCAGTGAACCTCCCCGGTCCCACACTGTGCTCCTGCTCCCACTCTGCCGCTCCTGTCCACCCGGGTGAGGTGTGTCCATTCCTCTGCCCCCTTCCATTTCCTCAGTGTCCCTTCTGTGCCCGTGACTGGGCAAGGCACGGGACACCACGAGCCAGGCTAAGGAATTTATAGGCTTTTATCAGTTCGATTCCTCCGCCCCTCTCGGAGAGCCCGGCAAGCTACCGAGAGTATTCGATATGCCAGACACAGTAACAACAAAGTCTCCAATGGAGACGTTACTGGGCCCGCTCGAGCAAATCGACGATCAACGGGAGGGCCTTTACCTTTATCTGAAAAACTGTGGGAACCAAGATGTTCCAAAGTAAAGTGTCCTTAAACAAATCAGGTCTTTAGCCAAGCTGCCAGACCAGAATTTTCAAAACTTGTCAAAGTATATAGTCAGAAAGGCCTAATTAGTGAACTAACCAAAAGAGTTACATATACACAAATTCTTATTTTTTTTTAAAGCGGCATAAAAAAAAGGACTGGAGCGACAGTACAGTGGGCAGGGCGGGTAGGGCTCTTGCCTGGCACACAGCGGACCGGAATTGGATCCCGACATCCCTTAAGATCCTCTGAGCCCTGCCAGACACAACTTCTGAAGGCAGAGCCAGAAGCAAGCCCCAAGCACTGTCAGGTGTAACCCCACAACCAAAACAAAATTAAAAAAATAAAATGGATACGAAAGCATAAAAATATGAAAAGAGCAATATAAAGTGGCTACATTAATATATCCTTTACCAAGGTAAGCATTACTTGGAAATAAAGACAGCAAAAATGATAAACAAAATACAGAAAAAAAAATGTTCTAATATAGCTCAGCAATGGAGAAGGTCCTGGGCCTGGACACACACACACACACACACACACATACACACACACACACACACACACACACACACTCAAACATACCCAAATTGGGGCTGGAGCGACAGCACAGTGGGTAGGGTGTCTGCCTTGCACGCGGCTGACCCAGGTTCGGTTCCCAGCATCCCATATGGGTCCCTGAGCACCACCAGGAGTGATTCCTGAGTGCAGAGCCAGGAGGAACCCCTGAGCATTGCTCAGTGTGACCCAAAAGCAAAAAAAAAAAAAAAAAAACAAATTGCTACATATCCAGGGTCAGAAAGCAAGTCAGCAAAAACTAAGGAACTGACCAGATACTTCAACATAGTACAAGAGAATCAGAAACTAGAAAATAATAATAATAATAATAATAATAATAATAAACCATACTTCTAAACCACTCTTAGAGAGGAATTAATGGAAACTAGCTAAAATATTTTACATCAAAAAGTAACAAACATCTACACATTAAAACTGGTGGAAGCAACTAGAGCAGTCGAGGGAAATCAAAAGCCTTGAATGCTTCTATTTCTTAAAGGGGGGGGGGGGGCATGAAAATCAATCCATCTAAAGAACCTACACAAAAGAAGGTGCCAGGGAGCCGGGATAGATGAAGCGAAGGAGGATGGACATGTACCCAACCAGGTCCGGGTCCGATCCTACCACCACACGTGCCTCCCACACCCCACCCCCCGCAGCACTGCCAGTGGTGCTTGGAGACCCCTGGGGACCCCCAATACTGCAGCACCAGAGGATCTCATCCTCAGGGGGCCCTGCACTGAACTGCCAGGTACCACGGGGGCCCCTCACCCAGCACAAGGGAGACCCTGCCGAAAAAAGAAATTACAGAAAGAACAGCACAGTAAATCCAAAGGAAAGAGAAAAATAACCAAAGAACAAAAACCCAACAAAGAAACATCCCTGAGATCAAGACTCTGAAAAGATAATCAAGCAATAAACTTACAAATAAGATTTTGGAGGAAGATTAGCAAATAAGCAACATTTGGAACAAAAAGAAGAAAAGTATCAGTATAAGCATTTTTAAGCTAACATAAACGCAACAATCTGCAGTCCCACTCTAAGAGAGTCATGGAAAATCCATGAAGACTGGACCAAAAACTTCTTTTTCTCCCCCAAAAACTTCTTTTAAAGTTCAGCCTAAACAATCTTCAACCATTAAAAGCATTTTACGGGAAACATCTTCTCCTAACAAAAACTTCAGGTCCCCCTGAAAACGTGACTAAACATTCTGACTAAACATTCTCAGAAGAGATATAAATGTTACATAAGTATCCCCCAGGCCAAAAAAAAAAAAAAGAACAAATCCACCCAAACCATCTGATAAGGCTAGCACAAATTTGACACTAAACCTAAAATAAAATTCGCACGCAATTAAAATAAAAGACCAGTATCTAGTCTGAACACAGAGGCAAAAGTTCTAAGCAAAAGTTTATCATGGGTAAGTGGAGGCCCTATCATGACCCATCTGGGTGATCCTGGCAATGGTTTAACATCTGGATTCACCCAAGTGACTCATCACAACAAGAGGAGAAAAAGCTACATTCACTTCAATAGTTGCAGAAAATACAGCTGGTAAAATTCAACATTTACTCATATAAAAACCTCCAACATGGGGCCGGAGACAGTATAACAGTTAAATAAGACAGATGCTTGCCTGGCATGCTGTCTACTCCGGTTCAATTCCCAACATCCCTGAGCAATGCTGGAGTGATCCTAGAATACAGAGCCAGGAATAATCTTAGAGTATCACCAGCTGTGCCCCTCCCCCCAAAATGATTTAATTTAAAAAAATTAAAACACTTGGCATCCCAGTGGGAAGGAAGACTTCCTTTACATCTATAGAAACCTATAGCAAACAAAAAGATGTTAAGGTGTGGGAAAAAAAAAAGGTGTGTGGGGAAAAAAAGGTGTGTGGAAAGCAGAGCCCCTTAAAAATCCAAACTGATCCAACACCATCTCAAAGATCTCCAATCCCAGATCGCAAAACGCTTTGGTGTCTGTTATTTGACAAGATGTTTTCGATGTCTGTGCAACACACAGAGGCAGGATGGCAAAGGCTTCCCTGGCAGAGATAAGGGAAGGAGAACTTGTCCTGGCAGGCACCGAGGCCGACGGAGCTAGCGCTATTCACAAAGTGCGCTTTAAGAACGTCAATGTTTCACAAACAGGAGATGATATCATTTGGGGCTGTTACATAAAAGAATATATTTATGACCACAAGGCAGGAGACAACCTTGATAAAATGGAGGTAACGGTGATGAGGGCACAAGCCTAGCAGGCACCCGACCTGGGTTCAGTTTCCAGCACTATGTGGCCGCCTGAACTGAGCAACCACGGGCTGTGGCCCTGGCACACCCCCAGCTGGCACTGCTTTGGTGTCCCAGGAAATCCCTGATACCACAGAGTCATAGCAGCAACACATACCCAGGTTCTTGCACGGAACCACCAGTTGGGCCCCTCAGGGGGTCTCCTAAGCCCCAGAGTCCCCGCAAGACGCAAAAGTAAAAACCATAAAAGAACGCATTAGATTAACCAACTCCATTTCCCAAAATGGAGAAAGGGTGCAGGGATACAACTCCATGGGACAACCAGGAGCCCCCGGTTTGATCCCAGTGAAGCAGGACTCCCCATGACCCCCAGGGGGTGCACCGCCAGGGTGTGGCCCCAAAACAGAGCAAGCAACCCAAAGGAACAAACCAGAAACAGCTGAGAGGGAGAAAGCAGAGATCTGGGGAAGGTCTGTAACGCAGAAACCGCTGGAGGGTCCCATCTGGAACATGAAGGGCGGTCAGCCCGACAAGGGAAAGAACTGGATGAGGAGAATGAGCATCTGCAACTCTACGAAGTGATGCACACCTGGTTAAAAACAAATAACACTAAGATTCAAAAATGCACGGAATCTATGTCACCAGCAAAGGAAAACGGAAAAACCAGTGGTTCAAATTTCCCCTGTTACAGACAAAACAAGTCTCACGAAGGAGATGTTACTGGGCCCGCTCGAGCAAATCGATGAAGAAAGGGAGGACCGTGACCGTACAGACAAAAATAATAATAAATCTATGAATGACTGAGCACACTCTCTCAGCCTCCGGGGGTACCATGAAAACTCATCCACACTCCAGAGAATGGGCCGGTGTTGCAGCAACCGTGGGCATCCCGGGGAGGCCACAATTAGGCACCTGCCTCATGGAGACATTTCCCTGTGTCCCAGCAAAGGGGGTTATGAACACACCACAGGAAAGCAGAAATCTGGCAAGAGCGTAAATGCCGGGCAACTGAAGAACTCAAACAACAGCTACAGTCGCGCAGGAGGATTCAAACCACAATGAAGACAAAAGCATTACAGGAGATCTCAGAGACACATCATGTGCCCAAAAAAAAAAAAAAAGTCACAGGACTCCCTTCGGACAGCACCAAATTCCAAAATAGACATGACCATCACCAGCAGTAATCGCCAGGGAAAAGGTCTAAGAGTATAGAGTCTCTGGAGAAACAAGGAAACAAGTACTACAAGCAGAACAAGGTTATCTTAAAGGTCATCTTCCTGGTCATCTTCCCAGAGGGAAGAAAAGGCTTCCATGGGGGCTCCCCGAGAAGGGCTGTTACTGTTCTACTTCTAACATGGCCCCCGGGGACTCTTTGCCTTCCTTTCTTATAGGCAAGCTGTGTGGCTTAACTTGAAAAAAACAAAAAAGTGAGGCACAGGTTAAGGAACAGCCAGAGCACCCAAGTGAACAGTAAGATGAAGAATGGCAGAAGGCGTATCATTTGGGGAAGGAGGAGCTGAGCCAACCTGCTTATGCAGAGGTCAGTTGTCTATTTGCCGGGGAAGGGGGTACAGAGGAAGGGGAGAGGGCCAGCTCCCGATTCCCCAAATCCTTCAAATATAAGCGCTGGTGACACGGGCCAGCCTCCACTACCACCACCATGCTGGTGCTAGGAGCTTTCCCAGCAGTTTCATTTAATCCTCAGCAGAACCTGAAGGGGAAAGCATTTTACCTATTTTTAAATGTGCCCATTTCAGAGAGGAAACTAAGGCTGAGCTAGGTCCAGGCCAACCAGGTAGAGATGGACATGTGGGCTGGTGGGGGGGCGGAGGGTAACTTCAGAAGAGAATTCAGGCACTGTGACCCTCCCGATCCAGAAGCCAGCCAACCATGAAACGATGCCTTGGGGCCCCTGCAATTCTAAAATCTTAATAAACCATTGTATCCCTCTCATCCTGTTATTCATCGATTTCCCCGAGCAGGCACCAGTAAGGTCTCCTTCGTCCTAGCCCTGAGATTTTATTAGAAAGTGCCACATCAGAGGCTCTTTCGGGGTCAGGAGAATGAGGCCCATCATTGTTGACAAAAATAAAAATAAAATGAAATGAAAAATTAAAATCTGCCAGCCCAATCTCAAGCTTGAATGCCGGATCTGACCTAGGTGGGCGCTTAGCCCCGACTGGTGTCCGTTTGCACGTGGACCGTGGTGGAAGTTGGAACAACTTGAGTTACAAGGAAGCTGCCCGGGGGTGGGGGTGGGGGTCGGGGGGTCGGGGACAGTAGAACATCTGCGCCTTGGGGCACCACACTGCCTCTGGAAACGGGGGGGACGCCCTGGAGCCTGGGCCGGGGTGGGTTTCGGGGTCTGCACACCCCCACGGGGAGCCCTGCGCCGAGAGCCAGGCCGGGAGGCGGCAGCTGGCGGGACCCACGCGCCTCCGCGGGGCCGGAAGGGCTGAAGTTTCACGAGGACGGCGTGGGGGGGGCCGGACGCCGACGAGCCCGAGGGCAGCGTCCACGCCGCGGGTGGGCCGTGCGGACGGGCCCGCGGGGGCCGCCGGCGGGTCTCGGGGCCCCGCGCCCGCTCCGCGTCCCCAGCAGGAAGCCCCGCGCTCCGCCCCGGGCACGGGCTCACGCCGTGCTGGCCCCACCTGCTGCGCGCCCTCGCCTTGCGGGTCGTCCTCCCCCCGTCGGCCTCGGAGCCCCGCGCTAGCCCACCGCGGACCCCCCGGCGCAGCCCCGCTTGGGCCGGCGGCGCGGGCAGAAAGGCGGGTGCGGCCCCGCCCCCGGGGCGGGGACAGCGCGCGCGCGGCCTTCTCATTGGCGCTCCCCGCGCGCTCGTCCCGCCCACGGGGTGGCGCACTTCCTGTGCCCGCGGCCGCGCCGTTGCCATGGCGCCGCGGCATCCTCCGTGACGTCACGAGTCAGCCGCCCTCAAGGCTGGGAAGCGTGGGCGCCTCCGCCCGGCTCTCGCGTGGGCGTCCGCGCGCGAGCGGGGAGGTGGACCTGGGTTTCCCCCGCCTGTGTAGGCCTTCGTGGCCTCAAGTTCAAGAATGCTCTTGCTCCGGGCTGGAGCAGGCCGGGCACTGGCTTGGCACGCGGTTGACCCGGGTTCGAGCCCCAGGACCGAGCCCCAGGACCCCAGTCTGGGCCCTTGAGCGCATTAGGAGTGAGCCCTGAACATCGGGGTGTGGACCCCAAAACAAACAAACAAAACAAAACAAGAAGAATCTTGGCTCTACCACTTACTGGTTGCCAGATAGGTAAAGGTAAAGGTAAAGGCCCTCCCGTTGATCGTCGATTTGCTCGAGCGGGCCCAGTAACGTCTCCATTGGAGACTTTGTTGTTACTGTGTCTGGCATATCGAATACTCTCGGTACTTGCCGGGCTTTCCGCCAGATATGTATATTTTTTATATTTTTATAAAGTAGTTCATAATATTTGATTACATTTGATATTCAAACACCAATCCCACCACCATCTTTGGATGCTGCCATCCCGAACCCAACCCCTGCCCCAAATCAGAACCGAAATTACTTATTTTGTATTGTTTGTTATGAATAAACCTCTGAAAATGATCCAGAAAACTTTCCTCAGAGGAGAGTGTGTGAAGATTGATGTATTTTACCTAGGGGACATTAAGAAGCCCACAAGAGATCACTAATATGTTGTTAAGGGTTGAGCCTTGTGTGCATATGTATACATATGTATATGTATATGTATATATCTGTAAAAATATATTTCCCTCTAAGATTGGTTGCATTCAACTTTAAACCCCATCAAATGTGGTGCGTTACTCTTGGAGTATGAATGGTGTGAGGTATGAAATGTCCAGGGATAGTTTTCTTGTGGGTGAGGTTCGACCTGAGTGTGTGGAGAGCGGCTCTGAGTGTGGCAGTGGTTGAATTCTGGAGGTTTTCAGCTCCGGGGGCTGGGTCCCTTGGGCCGGTTGCGTGGGCCCTCACCCGCCCACCTCCGGGAATGCCCAGAATGAAACAGCCTGGCACAGGGTCTGGTGTGGTTGCCAGATCTTGTGCAAATCACTGCTGAGTCTTGGTTTTTTCTTCCGGCCAATGGTCATCATAATAGCCCTTACAAAACTGTGTGTTCTTTGGTTTTGCAAGAGAAAGCACCCAGGAAACACGGTTCAGTGTGAGCCACCGTGCCACCTCATGAGTGGTGTTAGGTGTTATTATACCAGAGAAGGGGCAGAGTTGAGTCTCCAGGGCACTCATTTTACCCAGGTTTGTTCCCCTAGCATGGGGCTCCAGGTAGCAATCCTGGAACCGCAGCAAAAGTACTATCCGCTCTGCAATGGTAGATCCAGATTCTTCTCCTGCAATCTGGACAGTTTTCTTTTCTGGAGCGATAGCACAGAGGGTAGGGCGTTCGCCTTACACGCGGCCAACATGGCCGACCCGAGTTTGATTCCTCCGCCCCCCTCGGAGAGCCCGGCAAGCTACCGAGAGTATTCGATATGCCAGACACAGTAACAACAAAGTCTCCAATGGAGACGTTACTGGGCCCGCTCGAGCAAATCGACGATCCACGGGAGGGCCTTTACCTTTTTTTTTTTTTAATTTTATTGAATTACCATGAGATAGTTACAAGCTTTCATGTCTGGGTTACAGTCACACAATGGTCAAACACCCATCCCTCCACCAGTGCACATTTCCCACCACCAATATCCCCAGTATAATCCCCCTTTCCTACCCTCCCCCTGCCTCCATGGCAAACAATAATCCCCATAATCTCTCTCTACTTTTGGGCATTATGGTTTGCAATACAGACACTGAGAGGTTATCATGTTTGATCCTTTTTCTACTTTCTGCACACATCTCCCATCCCGACTGATTGCTCCAGCCATCATTTTCTTGGTGATCCCTTCTCTATTCCAGCTGCCTTCTCCCCTTTGCTCATGAGGCAGGCTTAACTAGACAGTTTTCCAACCTCTCTGGACTTCAGCTTCCTCCTCTGCTGGACACAGATTTTGTCTGATGGGGTGGGGAAGATGCTGGTGGTTCAGTCGCCTGGCAGTTAAAAGTTTGCACTCCAGATCTGAACTGCATTGTTAATCTTAGTTCTTAAACAGTCTGCGACCCAGGACGAAGAAACAACTCCCTCTCTGTTTGCTCATCAATAAAGCTGGGATCACATTGGAAATTTTGCCAAGAATAAGTTACTAGCTTCATCCATCGATAAAGCTGGAATCAGATCACACATTTTGCCAAGAATGTTACTAGCCTCCCGAGTACAAAGAAGAAATGTTTGGCATGTAACAATTGGTCAATAAGCATTAACTACTATTGCTAACAACGTACTATGCTAACAAAGTAACTTGAGGCTTAAATAAGTAGAAACTCTGAGAAGAACCACCCATGTCTTTTTGTTTGTTTGTTTGTTTGCTTGCTTGTTTGTTTGTTTTTGCCCTGCACAGTTCCCATGGTCAGACTTCAACATCATTTTAGGCATTTTACATAAATTCTGATCTCTGACAGCTTTTGAGAAATAAGTCATAATTGCACCAGTCCACCAGGGTAGGACTTATTTAGGGCTTGGTGAAGACAGTGTGCCTTTGCAAGACATGCGCTTTTCTGGAGGTTTTCAGCTCCGGGGGCTGGGTCCCTTGGGCCGGTTGCGTGGGCCCTCACCCGCCCACCTCCGGGAATGCCCAGAATGAAACAGCCTGGCACAGGGTCTGGTGTGGTTGCCAGATCTTGTGCAAATCACTGCTGAGTCTTGGTTTTTTCACAAAAACAAAAACAGGGGACAGAAATAGAAATCTCTGGCAACTGTGATATTTTACAGTCAAATGGGGCAAGAAGAGGAGGTAGTAAAGGGTTTTAGGCTGGGTCCCCTCCAAGCAAACAAGAGGGAGAGGATGCCGAGAAGCTGAAAGTGATCACAATCGCCAGAGTGTTAGGACCCGAGAGGTGAGACAGGGCTTCGAATGTGATGGCTGGTCAGAGCCAGTAGGGAGATGTGGAAGGTGAACTGGTCTTTGAGAGGTTAGAAAGCCTGGGAATCCCAGAAAGGAAGAAACGAAGGAGGCATCTGAAAAAAGGGATTAAAAAAAAAAAAAAGACTTAGGGCAGACAGAATAAGTCATAGAATAAAAATGAGACAGGAGGGATGAATCCAGGATATATGAAGACAGGTTGGCTCTTACCCTGGAGTGGAAGAGAGACATTTTTGAAATGGGGGGGGAGGGGCCTGGGGAGGAATGGCTCGATTAAGACTGACCCCTCTATTTTTATTTTTCTTAATAAAGTTGCAAATTCAGGGATCAGAGAGAGAGTCTACCTTGTAGAACGCTTGTCTTGCACACAGCTGAAGTGAGTTTGATCCCCGGCATCCCATGTGGTCTCCCAAGCACCATCAGGAGTAATTCCTGAGTGCATAGCCAGGAGTAACCCCTGAGCATCACTGGGGTGTGACCCCATAAAGTTGCAAATTCATTCTGGTGATTAAAGGGAGATGCTAAGGAGTTGGCAGGCCATCGAGGTTTGGGATAGATGACAAAAGAAAGGCAAAAGTGAGGTTCCATCCTCTAGCAGAAAAAGCAGGGTTTGATGTTGGATAACATTGGGTTATCCTTGCTCCTCCCACTGGGAGTTTAAGGTTCATCGAGCTAACCCCACAACAGTGACACTGAGGCACACCCAATTCCATCAAGCACTAATAATCCTATATTGCTTTTCTCTTTCCTTTGTGTCACTTGCATGGCTTATTTAGCAATGTCCCTTTTGTATAGACACAGGAAGACAGTTGATGCTATGCTTTGTAACCTGGGAGTTTTGACTTCAAAATAACATTTACTCCTGGGCATCTGTATTTACTTGACTTAAGCCTCAGTTGCCCTTACTTCCTAGCACCCCCAAAAGGAGGGTCCTGACAGAGGGACTGGATGGACCCAGGGCAAGCTGTAAGGCATCCCTGCATTGAAAGGAGACAAGCTAAGCGCCATAAGAAGTACAATAAGTTAAGAGCATGGTCATGGACAAACTCTGTCAGGACCCAAAAAGAAGTAACAGAATAAGGACCCTGTTAGTCTTTCCTGGGGTTAGGAAGGACTATCCTGGCCTGAGGACTGTGGTCTGGAATATATAGCAAGATGTCCCCAGGAAGAGCCAACCTTTAACCTTATAATATGCTCTTACTGTGTTCATACAAAATGACTAGAAATATTGTAAGAAGTCAATTTACTATGATTGGTTAAATGGATTACTAGCTGAGGAAAGGAGGAAGCAATACAACCTGGATGGAATTCCCTCCCTTGAGTGAATCTCTTAGTAATCCAGAGTGCTGAACCCTCAGATGAGATTTTGTCCTTGAGTTAATCTCCTAGAACTTCCCCTGAAGGAGTGGCTTTACCCCTGTTTGTTGTTATGAAGATGTTCAACCCCACCTAGGTGTACCCCACCCCTCATTTCATTTCATTTCATTTCATCATCCTGTTAATCGTCGATTGCCTCGAGCAGGCCCCAGTAACGTCTCTTTCATCCTAGCCCTGAGATTATATTCACAGCTCTTTAGGAGAATGAGACCCATCATTGTTACTGGTATTTGGCATATTTGGTACGCCACGGGGAGTTTGCCAGACTCTGCCCTGTGGGCAGGCTACATTCGATAGCCTGCAAGTTTGTCCAAAGTAGGAATGAGATAATAAGATGTCATAAAAAAAAAAAGTTCTGTTAAGATGGCGCGCGGCCGCAAATGCGGCCGCGCGGTTCCGGGATCTGGATTTTATAGTCTCTGAGTCTTGGCCGCTGATGGGATTACACGGC